AAATAAATAAATAAATAAATAAATAAATAAATAAATTATTATTATTTTTGAGAGGTTTTGACTATAGGGTGCGTGCGCTCGCCAGACAGGCAGAGAGAGACATAGAGATAGAAAGCGAGAAATCACCCCCCAGGGGGGATGGCCACGCTACAATCCCTTCTCCTCCATTCTCCTCTCAGAATCCTGGGCATGCACGCACATGCACCGGCGTGAGTTTAAGCCACCGGGTCCGGGACTCGAACCGCGGTCGACTACGTGGGAGTTCAGCGACACAGCCATTACGCTAACTGCTGGTCCCAATTAATTAATTCTTTAAAAAAATCTACATAGTCAGAAAATTACATTTAAAAACTACTTGAATCAATTTAAAAGCTACTTGAATTGGTTTTCTCTGTGCAATTATGTTGTTATTTTGATATATAATTAGGTTCACTTGTTTAGATTGTAGATTTTACACTTATTTACATGTTTCATAAATTAAAATGATATTAAAATACATACTCAGAGAAGTCTCACTTATGCCTTCTCCCCTCCACTCTGTCCTTACCTATCCCTTAGCGGTTACTGTGTTCATAATATAGGCAAATATGTAAGACTACAAAGACTTTCCTCACTTTTGCCAAAAGGTAACATACAGTATACAGTCTACTGTATCTTCAATAAAAGCAAACTTTAAACATTTTAACATAAAAAGCCCAGAAAGAATAATCTAAAGAACTCTATATCTAATTAAAATAACCGAGAGGATAAGCAAGATGTTACAAGATAAAATGAGATTCTGTTATAAATATCTCATGTTACATTTAAGAAATATAATAACTAAAACATTTCATGCATCTAGAAGTAAGGTCTTTAAGAAAGTCTGGGAAATACAAGCTAGCAGTAGGGAAGATTTCAACAATGAAAAGACTGAAAGTCTAGACTTACTATAATAGCATTTTATTAAAACACAACGGGGGGGTAGGTAGCACGGTGGTTAAGGTGCTGGACTCCCACATTGTCGACTATGGTTTGAGTCCCAGACATGGTGGCCTGCCTTCTCACAACCCCTATTTCTCTGTGGTCATATTAAAAGTACTACTAATAATAAACATTAAATTAAATAATCCTTACACATACACACACAGGGTTTTTTCTGATCACAACTTTTATATGTACCAATAATGGATGGGGTTGCTTACATGATCTTTGATTGTATTAACAGAAGAATGGTCCCTAGGTTACTGCAATTAAATATATTCTAGAGGCCAGAAGGTGGCATGGTGGTTAAGGTGCTGGATCCCCATGGTCAACTGTGAGGTTCAAGTCCTGAGCCCAGAGGCTTAAAATACATGCTGGGCATACATGTATGTGTGCCCCAAATCCAAGAATGGAAGAGAAGGGATTGCAGTGTGGCCATATTCCTAAGGGAGGCAAGGAATTTCTCATTTTCCCTCGCTATCTCTCTCTCCTGCCAGCACACATCCCCCTAGGGCAAAAATCTAAAAAAAGAAAAAAAAATCTAATTATATTCTTTATTGGTTAGATAAAACCTGGACTTTTTTTTAATAAAGAGTCATTTTATTTTATTATTACTATTATTTTCCAGTTTGATCAGAGAGACAGAGAAAGAGAGGGAGGGAAAGTGAGAAAGTTAAGCCACCAGGTCCAGGACTTGAAACGCAGGTGGTCATGTAGGAGTCCAGCACCTTTAACCACCACACCAACTGCCCGCCCCATGTCTGGACTATGGTTTTTTTTTTTTTTTTTTTTGCAGAGGTTTTTGCTATAGGGCGCATGCGCTCACCAGACAGACAGAGAGAGACAAGAGAGGTAGAAAGCGAGAATTCACCTCCCAGGGGGGGATGGCCACGCCGCAATCCCTTCTCCTCCATTCTCCTCTCGGGGTCTTGGGCATGCATGCACACACGCCCGGCGTGAGTTTTAAGTCACTGGGTCCAGGACGCGAACCGCGGTCGACTATGTGGGAGTCCAGCGACATAGCCATTATGCTGTTGGTCCCTGTACTACATTTTAATAGAAAAATTTAAGAGTATACAGGGGACCAGCAGGTGGCATCGTGGTTCGTACCCTGGACGACCACATGGCCAACTGCAGTTCCAGTGCCAGACCTGGTGGCTTGCTTTCTATCTTTCTCTTTCTATTATCTGTTTCTCTAGTGAGTGAATGTGCCCTATAACAAATTAAAATAACAGTAATAATAATAAATAAAATTCAATACATAATTATCTCTCTTTTTGGAGAGATTTTTGCTATAGGGCATGTGTGCTCGCCAAAAAGACAGAGAGACAGAAAGCAAGAAATCACCCCCAGGGGGGATGGCCATGCCGCAATCTCTTCTCCTCCATTCTCCTCTTTGGATCTTGGGCACGCACGCACACACGCCCAGCGTGAGTTTAAGCCACTGGGTCCGGGACATGAACTGCGGTTGACTATGTGGGAGTCCAGCGACATAGCCATTATACCAACTGCAGGTCCCAAAATAAATAATTCTTAAAGAGTATACAGGAATAAAATGCTTTGAGGAGAGAACTAAAGGAAATAGAACTCCCTTCAAATATTTGAAACAGGCCCAGACACAGTAGTACAGGTGAGAGGGTGCCACTGCACAATGGCTGAGGCCACATGGAGGCCTGTGCTCAGCTTCTGGCCCAAATCTAAACAGCTCAGGCCTGTGGTCCTAGTTAAATGGGAGCCTAGGACAGGATAATCACAACACGACAAGACTCTGTCAAGAAACACTTGTGGGGACCAGCAGGTGGCGTGGTGGTTAAGGTGCTGGACACTCCCACATGGCCAACCATGGTTTGAATACCAGACCTGGTGGCTTGCTTTCTCACTTTCTCTCTCTCTCTCTTTCTCTCTCTCTCTGGTCAAATTAAAATAAATGAATGAATAAATAAAAATTAAATAATTAATTTTTTTTTAAAAAAAGAAACATCATATTTTTCTTTACTGGGTTCCACATGACCAATTCCCAGGTTCAAGTCCTAGATCCAGTGGCTTTTAAATAATACGGGGGGGGTGTGCATGGCGACATGCCCACAATCCCAAGAGGAGAAAGGAGAAGAAGGGATTGTGGCATGGCCATCCCTACTGAGAGGGTGATTTCTCTCTTTTTCTCTCTCTCTCTCTTTTTTCTTCTCTGTCTCTCTGGCAAGCACACGTATCCTGTACAAAAAAAAAAAAAAATCAAACTTAACAAAAGAAAATATGAAACTGTGATCAGCTACACATCATTAAGCCTGTTTGGAGCCATAGAAAATATGGAGTTATGGAAAAATCACACAGGGTGTGTGTGTGTGCAAGTTAAAAATCCTGAGAGACTGGAGGAGAAGGGAATGTAACAATGGCCATCTCCCCTGGGTGGGGATTTCTCACTGCCCCTCTGTCTCTCTCTGGCAAGCACACATGACCTGTGGCAAAAATAAAACTTAAAAAAAAAAAGATAATATTGCTTTGATGCCCACATGTCACACAACACCACAAAAGGGAGGTGTTTATTTTCTGCTCAGAACACAAACTAGCTTGGCTTAGCAAATGCTCCAGGAACACTATGTTGTGTAGAATTTCAACACATCAACACTGCCTATGGCAGCACTGAGATTTGGGAGAAATGCCCAATAGGAACCAGTTAGGCTGTGTCTAATAGCAATGGACCTACATCTATTTTTGCATGCAGTGGAGACTTCAGAAGTAGAAAAAGAAGGTAAGGTTTATTCATTAGCATACTGAAATACCTCTAAGTGATTCTCAGTAGTAAAAGAGAGAATCTGACTGAGTGTACAGTTCTCTTGAGAGAAGGTAAGGGTGAGTGGCCAGTTCTACAGAGAAGCCAGTTCATTATTCTAACCATGATCTGTGGTGGTTTTAAGACATGTCTGTAAGTTCTTGGACACTTCAACTGAGAGGTGGGATCTATAGCTCATCTACTTGAATTTGATCCAGACTTAGTGGCTTAGCTTTAAACAATAAAATGCAGCAGATATGATGCTTTGTGACTTTGCAGGATGGAAAATAAAATGCAATACTGCTTTTGCCTTGTCTACTAGGACCCTAGCATTTCAAGCCCTGAGCTGCCCTGTAAGAAGTCTGACTTCCTTAAGGCAGCCATTCTAGAAAGAAGATAAAGCCACATGAACAGAGTATGTTTAGGTATTCTAACCCACTGTTTCAGCTGAAGTCCCAGTTTCAACTGCCAGCTATGTCAGTAAATACGCTTCCAGAAGATTCCCATCACCAACTATTGAGAGTCTCCCAGCATTGAATCTTCCCAGCTGAGGCTTAGATATCACAGAACAGAGATAAAGTGTCCTTGCTATGCATGATCTGAACTATTATTTTTTAGGTTTTTGCCACAGAGTGTGTGAGCTTGCAGAAGAGAGACAGAGAGGAAAAGAAATCACACCCCGGGAGAAGGCCATGCTGCAATCCCTTTTTCTCCATTATACTTTTGGAACTTTGGGCATGCTTGCACACACTCCCAGCATGATTTTCAAGTCACCAGGTCCGAGACTTGAACGGTGGTCAGCCATGTGAGAATCCAGCACCTTAACTACCACAGCCAGGTGGCTGGCCCCACCTGGTCTGAATTCTGAGAGGGTAATGTTATACTTTGCAAAGGTTAAAAACTATAATGTTTAATCCACACAATGATACCATTAGGTAGCCTGGACTGTCATTATTGTTGCATTCATTTTATAGATTAAAAAAGACCAAACCCACAAACAAGGATTTAAACTTACCTGCTTTGAGATTATATAGGCTGACACTAAGAGCTTGATCTTTAGACTCCAAAGTTTATGCTTTCTCTGTTGTTTCTCGTCTAAATACTGTGGGAGTTCAGAATGGCCTAAGGAAATCAAACAGGATATCTATCCAAAAATTGAAGACAAAGTCTGAAAATGTTAAGTGAATGTAAATTAACAATAATGAATCAATATTAAATGAATGAGATTAGCCATCCTGTGTAAAAATAATCATGTAAAATATAGCCTACAGATTAATACTGATGAATAAGACTGTAATTTATTTAAAATAGAACCAATGGGAGGGCCAGCAGGTGGCATGGTGATTAAGGGCAGTAGACTCCTACATGCTGACCAAGGTTCAAGTCTTGGACCTGGTGGCTTGCTTTCTCACTTTTCTCTCTTTCTCCTCACTCTGGTCAAAATAAAATAAATAAATAAATTTAAATAAAATAATTATTTAAAAATATAGCACCAATGGAAAATATACTTTTTTTTGGAGAGGTTTTGGCTATAGGGTGCATGTGCTTGCCAGAAAGACAGAGAGAGAGAGACAGAGGGACAGAGAGACAGAAAGCGAGAAATCACCCCCCACGGGGGATGGCCACGCTGCAATCCCTTCTCCTCCATTCTCCTCAGGATCTTGGGCACGCACGGGCACGCACGTGCACGCACCCGGCGTGAGTTTAAGCCACCGGGTCCAGGACTCAAACTGTGATCCACTATATGGGAGTCCAGCGACATAGCCATTACACCAAAAGCCATTACACAAACTGCCAGTCCCCTAAAATACTGAGGACTTTTAATGTTGTAAATACTTATAAAATTTTAGGGGAATTAAAAAAATGAAATATGACAGTTATACTAGAGAATTATCTACATTTTCTACAAGAGAATATAAAAACCCTGCCTGTTGTATTTTTGATGGAGTCAAGAAGAAAGGGTACCATAATCTGGAGATGGTTCTATTTTGGTCTACTTAGAAGGATATCCTGGGGTCAGCAGGTGGCGTGGTGGTTAAGGCACTGGACTCTCACATGGCTGACCATGGTTTGGGCCCAGGACCTGGCAGCTAGCTTTCTCACTTTCTCCCCACTCTCTCTGGTGAGTGCATGTGCCCTGTAGCAAATAAAAATGATGATAACTAAGTAAGTAATTCTTTCACAAAAATAAAAACTAAACAAAAAGAACAGCCTTACCCCGGGCGCGTGTGCGTGCGTGCCCAAGATCCCGAGAGGAGAATGGAGGAGAAGGGATTGCGGCGTGACCATCCCCCCTGGGGGGTGATTTCTCGCTTTCTGTCTCTATGTCTCTCTCTGTCTGTCTGGCGAGCGCACGCGCCCTACAGTGAAAATCTCTCCAAAAAAAAAAAAAAAAAAGAACAGCCTTACCATTAAGGTTGCTTCAGACTAGTACAGCTTGATGGTATTATCCCTTGTGATAATCTTCACTTACTCTACATTTGCCATCTTTTAAACTTAGTTTAAAAAAAAAAAACTCTACTTGGAAGAGAATGTAGAGAATGTACAGTGAAGTTGACAAACCATACCATACTCATTCGATAGACTATTTTTCAGTGTAGAGGAATGTCAGTATTCTGATTCATCAAGTAGCCTCTTAGAATCACCACTACCTGAGAATAACAATCACTAGCTCCCAGGCTCATGTCAGTCTTTACAACATGCAGTCCATGCAACATTCTGCTTCAGGAGTCAGCTTTTTTATTTTTTTGGAGAGGTTTTCGCTACAGGGCGCATGCGCTCTCCAGGCAGAGAGAGACAGAGAGACAGGAAGTGAGAAATCACCCCCCAAGAGGGGATGGTCACACCACAATCCCTTCTCCACCATTCTCCTCTTGGGATCCTGAGCATGCACACACACGCGCCCGGTGTGAGTTTTAAGCCACCGGGTCCGGGACACGAACCATGGTCGACTACGTGGGAGTCCAGCGGCATAGCCATTAAGCTAACTGCTGGTTCCCAGCTTTTTTTTTTTTAAGAGGGATTTTCTTTTTGCTATAGGGTGTGTGTGCACTTGCCAGAGATAGAGAGACAGCGAGAAATCACTACCCCCCAGGGTCAGGGGTGGCCACGTTGCAAAGGTGTGAGTTTTAAACCACCTGGTCTGGGACTCGAACTACAGATGACTAGTGGGAGTCCAGTGATGTAACCATTATGCCATCTGCTGATCCCAGCAGGACAGCTTTCCATCTCTCAACTTATCCTAAATGAAGTATAATAAAGAGGTCACTGTGGTGATTCCTCCTTCTCTCCTGGCAAAGAACAGTAAAAAGGCAGAGTCCACTCAAGCTTTATGTGACTCCATGTTTAGGTTACTTTGGGGATTAAATACATACTTCGTGAGCTCACAGTAACTTCTGTGTTTCTCAGTCCTGTTTCTCCCTTCCTTGAAACTGTCTTTTCCAATGATTACCTTTCCTTTTTTTCAATTTAGGTTTTTGCTGTATGGTGCATGCATTTGCCCAGAGAGACAGAGAGGAAAAGAGAAATCACACAGAAGAGGGGTTGGCCACACTGCAATCCTTTCTCCTCCATTCTCCTCTTCAGACTTTGGGCACGGGCAAGTAATGATTTTCAAGCTGCCAGGTCTGGGACTTGAACTCTGGTCATATGTGTGAGAATCCAGCGCCTTAAACACCATGTCACCTGCTGGACCCTGCCTTTCTTTTTAAGATAAATGTATTTTTAATATTGAATTGGGGTTTAATTCCATACTGTAATTGGACTTCTCAAAGAGAATTTATCTTTCCTCTCCCAACTGTATCATGCATATTTTGCCCAGAAAATGACTCGTAATATTGTTTGTGAAAGACACAAAATATGTAAAACACTTTGAATGATTTTCTCTGAAATAAAAATGATTTCCTTTTGACACTTCACTTGTCTAGAATGCTCTGTGCCTTGTACAGGCCAGGCCTCGGTGCTTGGAAAGTGCTCAACTGGTATTCGTTAAATGAATGAACCTGGAAAACGAAAACTACACTAAAAGCAAACATTTTATTCCTCAACAATGGGGAGGGAAAAAAAGCTTTTAGACTTCCATTTAGACGCCTTTAAAGACCAGATGCTCTAATGAAAAGGATGCAAGCACCACGCTGCTAATTTGGCTGTTCCTGAATATACCTGTATGGAAGTCGGCTCGGCTGTTTCAGCCTTGGGGCGTCAGGCTCATTTTTCGGATGCGGAGACACTGGCGGTAATGGAAATAAGTACAATGGTATGGGCTTCCCCGCCTTCCTCCCTCTAGGATTTCGGCTGGCTCTCTCGAACACCACTCCTGCTCTTCTAGTAAAAGGCCACGTTACGGAACAGGCGAACGACTAGAGGGGAAGAAAGTAGGAAACGGGAGCCATGGAAACGGCGCAGCGGAAGAAATGTGTGAGCGCGACAGGGTGCGCGAAAGGGCTGGGGAAGGAACCCACCCCTGACGACGGCGCGAGGGCGCTCCTCGAATGACGTCACGCACTCGGGGTGACGTCACGACCGTGACTCGCGGGTGACGCCGTTGCCGCGGCGACTTCTAGTCGTCTCCGCCCCCTTCCCCCGCCCCCCAGCCTAGCGTCCTTCCCCCAATCCCCTCAGGCTCGGCTGCGCCCGGGGC